TTCCCCCCCCCCCCCCCCCCCCCCCCCAGGGTATAGTATTTCATACCACCTCAAGGTAAAGTGTGGTTCAAAATAGAGAACTGGGAAATAGCAACTCATATCCAGAGGAATTCACAAATAACAATACTTATTAACATCTTCTATCAAAATGCATGCATGTCCCATTACCAGAATCCAAGAAAAAACCAGGACTTTTACAAAACAATACCAGCTTCAAACCAAGTTGATTTTCAAAACCAAACTTCCTTTAAATTCTAAATACTTCATCAAATTCCATCATGTCAAATACGGGCTAACTGTCTTTCCTCCCCTGAGAAGGAAATAGAAATCAAGTAAAGGATCAATCTTGAAGAGTTAATACCATCAACAAATTGACCAGGAGAAAAGAATACCTTCCTTGGAGAGAGGTGGTATTTTCAATAATGACATGATTACAGAACTCAAAGACAACACTGAATTGCCAAGAAAAACCCCAAACGTTGGCACTAAACAGACCTGTTTAACTCAAAATTAAACTGAAAGCATCCATTTCAGAAACAGGTCAATTATTGAACACATTGACCTAAACCAAATAGTAAAGATACCAAAACATAAACCAATAAATTGACACAACGGTCACAAAAACACCATCACAAACCCAAATTGACACAATAAGCATCGAAATTTGGTGTCTTCGTTTCAATAATATAACTCCAATGTTCTAAATATTGGCAGTCCTAAAACTTCAAATTTATGAGTCCTGAGCTAACTGCTAAACTATTCAACATTGTTAGTTCACTTTGGTGGGATAATTCATGCACTCATTGTTAACATTTCCGTAACAAGCAATTAAAAGTAATGCTTAAAGCTTTCATCAAACATAATCATCAAAACCCGGAAAGCTAATAAAGAAAAAGAAGTTACCATTTCCTGCACACCTCTCACAGGGCACAGGATCCCCCTGCCAAAACCCATCAAGATCAATGAATCAAAATCTAAAATTTTTCAGCACTTGTGAAAGTAAAAGCAAGAAATGAAGGAAAACATGAAAACGACAAGGAATGCAGATTACCTTCAGGCCCAGGAACAGAGAAAGAGCAATGGCAGCAAAGACACTGATAACAGAGAGGGCAGTTTGGGTATCCAAAGGAGTATCCAAGCCACTGAGCAAAAATTGTGGCTGAAAAAGAAGGCTTGGTGTGGCTTGGTGGTGATAGAGTTTATAGTTGCTATTATGGTTGGTAAAGGAGAAGCGGGGGAGAGAGGGGATTTCAGGCTTTGAGGGGGGTAGTTTTGGAAGAAAGTGACGTGTTTTTGAAGAAGAAGAGGAAGGAGGAGAGAGAGAAGAGAGAGGATGGAGAGAGGAGCAAGAAGAGAGTGGAGCCATGGATGGACGAGAGGAGGAGAATTTTTGGAGGCCAGAGGTAATGAGTTTTCTCTTTGTTTTTCTTTGGATTAGTTATATATATTTGGTCCCTTAATTTTTATATTTTCTTATTATGGTCCATATGGTCTTGTTTTTAACTGGTCTCTCTATTCCAAAAGTATTTAATATGGTCCCTTCGTTCAGCTTTCTTCCAATTTTCAATCAATTCTATACACGCGCGCGCGCGTGTTATTTTTATTGTATTTACTGGCAGCAATAAGAATATAAAAACATCTATATTAAGATAAAAGGTAGGGAGCAAAAGATTGAACCAATAACACCCGTTTCTTTACCCATTAACTTTTTATTATGTACATTTAAATAGTTAATAATGTGTGCTAATATTTTTATTTTTGTTTTGTATTGTATTTTTTTTTGTTTTTAGGTGTATTTAAAAAAACAAAACATGTATTCCTTGAAAAATCATGAAATTGATTTTTTATATTTTTAGATAATTTTGATGTGTAAATATAAAAAATAAAATAAAAATTTTAAAATAAAAATGTTAATATATTTTTAAATTAAAAATAATTTAAAAAATAGAAGTTATTACATTTCTAAATGGAAACGAATTCAAGATATAATTGTCCTATTTGGTACAGGTACCAACCTCTTTAAAAATAATTTAAAAAATATTAAAAAAAATAAAAGTTATTACATTTCTAAACGAAAACGAATTCAAGACATAATTGTCCTGTTTGGTATAGGTACCAACCTTTAGCATAAAAGTGTGTTTGTTTTTAAAGTAGTTTTTATAGTTGTGATTTTAAAAAATAAGTTTAAAATAAATATGATTAGATGTAGTTAGTTGGATTTAGAGATATTTTTGATAAAAATTATTGTTATGATTCGTCTGCAATAAAAAACATGTATAAAATATTTGGTGGTTGTGTGATTGTAATTGCTTTTCAAGGTGTTTTTTATTTGAAAATATATTAAAATAATATATTTTTATTTAAAAAAATCTTGGTATCAATGTATCAATGATCTAGAACACGGAAAAATAAAAAATGAAGTAAAAAAATTAAAAAAAATTAAATTTTTTTCAAAAGCAATTTTAAAACACAAAAAATAAACAATATTTTATGAAACGCAGTTAAAAAAACATGTAAGTGTTTATTTGTTCATGCAATTACAACAACTCTTAAAGCAAACCGCGCCATTTATATGTTTGGCAATGACAAAACCTACTTTACTATTGATATGGGACCTTGATAAATCATGTTTCAACCTCAAGTTTAAAGAAAGCAGCTCTCGACCGCTTTCCCTTCTTCACATCAACGTCCTATACAGCGGAGCTCTCCATTATTTCAACCGAATCGGATCTGATCCTTTTATGAAACGCAGTTAAAAAAACATGTGAGTGTTTATTTGTTCATGCAACTACAACAACTCTTAAAGCAAACTGCGCCATTTATATGTTTGGCAATAACAGAACTTACTTTATTGTTGATATGGGACCTTGATAAGTCATGTTTCAGCTTCGAGTTTAAAGAAAACAGCTCTCGACCGCTTTCCCTTCTTCATATCAATGTCCTATACAACGGAGCTCTCCACTATTTCAATCGAATCGGATTTGATACAAAGCTAAATGCATTGAATTAGGTCCGACCAAGTTTTTAAAAAATAATTTTTACTTTTATTTCTATGTGTATTTTGTTCAAGAAAACAGAATGAGGTTGCTTAATTACGTAGTATTTACAGAATTTGATCGCAATTCTAATTTTGTTTCTGATAATATTTTACTTGATATTATTACGCACTTAAAGAAACCAAGAAAACTGTAGTATCCACTGTTTTCATTGGACCATGTCTAGTCAAAAGCTAAATGCATTAAACCTGACTCGATCCAGTTAAAAAAATCAATTTTTATTTTATTTTTTAATTGTGCTTTATTTGAAAAATTAGAAGGAGTTTGTTTGATGATGTAGTATTTGTAAAATTTAATTGTAATCCCAAATTTGTTCGTGGTAATATTTTATCTGATGTTGTTACATACTTAAAGAAATCAAGAAAACTATAGTTTTTGTCAAATGAATTTCGTAGGTAATGGAATTGTAAATAGTTTAATGAAACAATAAAAAAATATTTTATATAAATATTATTTATTTTATAATGTAATAGCATTAGTTAAATTTATAATATTTTAATTAAAATTATCAATATTAATTTATATTATTTTTAATTATTTTATAACCTCAATTTGAAAAATATTTTTTTTAACAGAATACATTAAACTATTTTTTATTCAATCTCAATTTCAACTATAATTTTAGCCAAACACATATAAACACCAAACAAATCTCAACTAAAAATACTTTTTATAAAATAATTTTTTTCACGCCATAATCATAAAAACTACTATAATATTAAATACTTTTTATAAAATATTTTTTTTCACACTATAATCATAAAAACTACTATAATACTAAATATACTCTAAAAATTATTTCACAAAAATTGCATTCAAAATTTATTTTTTTTGATGAATTTTACAGTATAAAATATAATTTTTAGAGTTATCTAACAACTTAATATGTTTTTTGCATAGCAAATGCAATAGCAAGTACAAAATAAACACACCCTATAAGGATCTAAGTCACAAATCACCAAGTTAATCTATAAATTAATTAAAGTTAAATTAATTCTATTTAAAATATATTTTTTAATATTAAAAAAATAGTTGTTACCAACACTTATTTTTAATTAAATCAATTAAATTATTAAAAAGTTAATCGGTTAATCGAGTTTCAATTAATCAATATTTTTTTAATTTAACTTAAAGTCTAACTCAAGCCACACTTTAAATCCCGAACTTCACAAATTAATCACCGGTATCAGATCAAGTTTAAGGACTTTGATTTGCAGTGCATGATCGGGTAAAAAACAACATGGTTTTGAAGAAAATGTGACAGAAAAATTAACAGACTTGCAAAGAAGGATGTAATTGAATAAATGTCTAAAACAATAAGCAACGTAATCAACAACTATTATTCTTGGAACTCACATGATAACTAGATAATATACCAGGGACTAATTTGAGGCTTTTTAAAACTTTAAATCAGAATCAGAATCGCATGGATGGAACCGATTTGAATAAAGGAACCGACACAAACCCTAGCTGACTGTAAATCTCTCCTCTGGCGCTCGTCATAAAAATCAAATTAGGGCTAGATTTTTCAAAATTAGGGTTTCTTAAATTTAATTAATTAAATGGCAAAGAAAGAGAAGCGAAAAGCGAAAATCAAAATAGTCGAAGAAGAAGAAGAGAAGCCGAAGAAATTTGCAGCAGAGGTTAGTAGCGACGATGAAGAGGCGAATGAAGATCTGAGCTTGAAGATTGTAGAGAAATCACTGTTAATGCGAGCGGCGAGATTGGCTGAAAACGGCAACGGTTTTGTCGTTCTAGATGATGGTGGTGATCGAGACGGTGGTGCGGTGGAGATAGAGTCGACGCCGTCAATAGAGGCTGAATCGGCGAGTGCGGGTTCCCGCGGGGTGAAGAAGAGGAAAAAGAGAAAGAATGCTGAGAGGAAGATGGAAGTTTCAGTGAGTTTAGTATCTTAGAGCTTGATTATTTTTTTTTCTTAATTCAATTGATTATTTACTACTATTAGAGCTTGAAAATTGATTAATTTTGGTATTAATGATTTATTGTTTTTTTTAATGATTGTGTACTGAATTATGTGTAATTAGGTTGTTACTGCGAAAGAAGAAGAGGAGGTGGATAAAATTGAAGAGGCGGAAACAGTTGACAACGCAGAGATAATGGAGAAGGCAGAGAAGAGTGAGAAGGTAGAGGTAGACGAGGCTGCAGAACTGGTTGAAGACGGTGGTGCAAATGCAGTTGAGGACTCTGTTAATATTGTGCTCCGAAAGCTTCTTGTGAGTTAAAAATATTTGTTGTGATCTGCAATTTTGAAAGAAACACTTTTTTCAGGGAAGGCTTAGATTGTTATCTCTGTTTTACTTATTCTGTCAGCGGGGGCCACGGTACTTTGATACTCTAGATAGTGGCTGGTCAAATTGCTATAACTGTGGGGAGGAAGGTCATATGGCGGTGAACTGTCCGACATTTACAAAGAAGATTAAGCCATGCTTTGTTTGCGGGAGTTTGGAGCATGGGGCTAAGCAATGCACTAAGGTTTGTGAAGATGTAACTATTCAGAAGTTGGTGACTTGTTGTTTATTCATCACTTTTATTGTTTAAATGTTACACGTGGGCTTTGAGTTATTTGATTTAGACATGTGTGGTAAGTAAACTCTGAATGTATTTGTCTGCAGTTGCTTTGAATCACTAGGACCTTTACCTTCCCTTTATGAAAATATGGATAGCTTAGTTCCTTCATTTGAAGTGTAAATATCATAGACGAGAGCAAACTATAAAAAAACAGAATATTTTACCTGAACATGAGAACACTGGAATGATGGAATATTTATCCACATGTCCACTGAACATGAGAACACTGGAATGATGGAAGATTTGTCTATATGTCTATGTTTGTGTTGAGATTCTGTGTAAATGGTTTGGGAGTTGAAGAATCTGCTTAATCTGGGTTTTGTTATGCTTGACTTTTTATGCAGGGACAAGATTGCTTTATTTGCAAGGAAAGTGGCCACCGTGCAAAAGATTGCCCAGAGAAATATAAGGGTACTCATCAGAGTTCAAAAATATGTTTGAAATGTGGGGGATCCGGGCATGAGATGCTCTCATGCATGAACGATTATTCTGTTGATGATCTCAAGGTTGTTCTACCTTTTTCATCAGTGGTTGCCTAATTTTTTCCCCTTTCCTGCACGCCTACAAGTTTGTGGTCTTATTCTAATTTGAATCGTTATCATTATTGTTTCTTATCTTCTTATTTTTTTAATTTTTTATCATCATTCAGGAAATACAATGCTACATCTGCAAGAGTTTTGGCCATTTATGTTGTTTTACCTCTGGTGATGATGGTCCAAGACAAGTTTCTTGCTACAGATGTGGTGAACTGGGTCATACTGGTTTGGTAAGCCCCATTCATTGCTTTCAATATCCACATGTCTCTCTTCATGGGCATCTTTCTTTGTGCATTCTGCATATCCTTTCATGCTTATGGTTAAGGACAAAATTTTATCTATAAGTGCACTATACTTTCTTGGACTGAATGCATGCTGTCATGATGTGTGGAAAAGAGTGGTACTGTATTTTGTGATTTTAGGTTTAGGTCTGTCAATATGATAGTTTCTATATTAATATCCCTGTGCTATTTGGTTCAGCTCTGACAATATTGTTTTACTTTCTCAATTGCTGATAGTTATTCTTTCATGATCCCAGTAGATGTCTGAGCAATGGTGGTTTAGAATTTTAACTTGTGCACAGGTGTTAGCGAAGCTTTCTTTTGCTGATGTTTTTCTTTCCAATTGTCTTGGCTTTAATTTTCTCTCTCATGCTGTTAAGTTGCAAGTGAGGGACATTATATCACAATTCGTACATACAGTGTGGCTTTCTAGATAAGTTTTTCTTTGATAATATATGGTCTGCAGTTGCGCCTTATTTTTACAACCTACATGACATTAAAATTCTTGGTGCACATGTTTTTATACTGCTAATATACGATTTGGTTTGTGCAAGACACCTCTTGTGTCTACTTTGACATTGCCCACGCTTTGGAATCTCTGTTATGGGATCTTGACAAATCCCTTGACATTGGCATATGTAATCGCAACATTGTTTCTCTTCACCCAACTGTTCCTGAGATGGTTTGAACCTTTTTTTCCAAAATTTTCTTGCTGGTGACCAGCCTTCTTTCAATGAGTTGGTATCAATCTATGTAGGACTGTGGAAGGTTACATGAGGAAGCCTCTATGACAGAATCACCTAGTTCATGCTACAGATGTGGGGAAGGAGGGCATTTTGCACGTGAGTGCACCAGTTCTGCTAGGGTAAGTTTTTCAGCAAATGTGTATCACTGTCTGAAGGTTCATTTATATGCCACTTAATCATATTTCATTTCTTCAGCATCACAAGATTCTGTTTCCCTTCATAGAATTTTGTGTGTTCCCTTAAAATATAAGTAAAGCAGTATTTGTTTACCATAAGCAGGGTGGGAGGAGGAACCGTGAATTATTAACCCTGACTCTAAAAGCTCATAGAGAAAATAAAGAAAGCTTGGGAATTAAATCTGCCCCACATGATCTTGTCAAGGCTCGTAAAAAGAGAAAAACCAAGTCCGAAGAGAAAGGCATTACAACACCGCCAAAATCAAAACATAAAGGTCACCACATTGCAGAGCATCTAACAAATTCATCCCAGTCAACACCAAAGAAATCAAAACACAGAGGTGGATGGATTATGGAGGATCCTGGAGATGTATCTAAATCAACACCAAAACAATCGAAACACAGAGGGGGATGGATTACAGAGGATCCTGGAGATGTATCCTGGTCTAATTCCAAGAACCATTTCAATTCTCCTTCAACACCTTCTTACAAGGGTTGCAAGAGTTCTCCTATGACTTGTGGCCATCATATTTCAAGTTCTCAAACTTTTAAGAAAAATAACTGGAGTCATTCAGGAACTTCAGCTTTCCAAGGGTCGGCAACACGTTATCAGCATAGATATTCAGCATCCAGGTTTGGCAACCCTGGCCATGCATACAGCAACTCTGGCCATGCATACAGCAACCCCAGGCATGCATACAGTCACTCTGGCCCTGGATACAACAACTCTGGGCATGCACACAACAACTCCAGATATGCATATAGCAACTTCAGGCACGCACAGGACAACTCAGGTTATGTGCACAACAACTCAGGGCATGCATAGAACACCTAAGGCCATGCATGTGGCAACTCTGGTTACACATTTGGCAGCTCTGGCAATACTGGGATGAGGAGAGACAATGGTTGGTGGTAGAAATGCGAATTATATTCCAACTACTGAAGCGGGGAACCCAAATTTTTTTCCGGGGGTCGTCTAAGTTATGTAATTTTTTGATCCCTTTAGCGCGCAAGTTATTGACAAATCATTTTTTCATACATGGATGCTCTTGTTCTAGTGATTTATACATTCTTTCCTCAATGCATGTATCCACACACCTTGCTGTAACCTTTGTAGGATAGGTAGTGGTTTAAGTTGTGAGGAACTTACTTTTACCCCATTCTTTCTGAAAGAACCTTGTTGATTTAAATATGTCAGAATCATTGTCAATTCTTGAATCCCAGACTTCCAAAAGATCACTTCAGAAGTTGAAATTTCGGAATATTCAATGTTTGAGGCGAGGGGACTGAATATGATTCTCTCGTTTCTGTGTTTATTTCAGTGTCCGTTACTTACAGTTTTAGCACCATAAAATTCCCTCCTTCCTTGCTAGGAATACCGCATCTCTTGCTGGATTGCATATAAAAGAAACAGCACAGCAGAAAGGAAAATCTCCACTGAAAAGAAGAGAAAAACCGAACAGAGGCAATAGCCAAATATTTTAGCAGGAACCATGGAGTTATTGTCAGCTGGTGGAGAAGACTGACATGCATCCCATGTAACTCCATGATCGCTCCAGGATCAGCTTAGCAAAGCAGATGGAAGCATTTATTCTTAAAAAGACCTGTCGGCGGAGGAGAACAAGATGGAGAGAAACTCAAAGCTAAGCTCATACTGCCCCACCAACAGGGTAAAGAATTGCGCTAGCCCCTTTTACACTCCTCACCATTAGAACCCCACTTTCCTTCGTGTACTTCCTTGCATGGCCTTGAATGTTGACTTTGTCTGCTTTGCATGTCATGCAACCAAAGCAGCAAAGAATATGCAGTCATATTCACCCAGCTTCTTTTTTAACTTCTATGATTATGTGAAAAAAAAAAAAACTGATTCTGATCAATCTATCTTTAAAATCAACCGTAATTGTTATACTTGGTATGAGCTTTGACATGATAAAAAATCCTCATCCGAGTTATTAGATTATTATAGGTTATTAGATTAATTTATTAGTTATTGAATCAATAATTTTTTTTCATTAAAATAAAATAACTTTTTGTTTTTTTTTAAACCTCTTGGATAAGATTTTATAGAATTAAAACCTAACTTAAACGTGGAAGCATCCACGTTTCATACAGTCTTATTTTACAAGTTGTTTGGTTAATTAAACAAACACTTATTATTATTTATGAATTTCATGGTTTGCTGTATTTCAAACGCAAGGAAAAGAGAAGCAGCTCCTAGCTGCTTCCTGCATTATAAAATGCTAAACCATGCTCTAGTGTTCACTGAATAGTGGAGTATGATTTCACTATTTACTGAATAGTGGAGAATAGTGGAGGCATGCATTTATTGTTTATGTAAATAATTTTTTTAAAAAAAATCATTGCAGTTAATTGATTTCATTTGCATTGTTCACATGAACATGAACAATAATTTTTTTTATTTTTTAAATTAATTTAAGGTGAATTAAATTTATTCGTATTATAATTTTAATTTTATTCTTGATAATATTTTATCTAATTTTGTAGTTTTTATCGGATAAATTTCATATATAATGAAATTGTAGATGATTTAATGAAAAAATAATTTTTTTTATATAAAGTATGATTTATTTTATGATATAATAACAATAGTAAAATTCACACTATTTAAATTAAAAATAATTAATATTAATATATATTTTTTAAAATTATTTATAATCTTAATTTTAAAATCATTTTTAATCAAACATATTAAATTAATTTTTTTAATTTTAATTTTAACTATAATTTTAATTAAATATCTATTTTTTAAATTAATTGTAATTAAAAATACTTTTTATAATTTATTTTTTTAAAATTATAACCATATGACCATAAAGTTAACACAATACAAAAGATAATCTGGTCTGCTAGCCACCTTTATGCTAAAATACAAGCTGTTTGATTAATTAAACAAACGCCTGTTGCTATTTATGAATTTCACGATTTGCTATATTTGAAATGCAGGGAAAAGAGAAGCAGCTAGGAGCTGATTCCTGCGCGATAAAATGCTGAACGATGCTTTATTATTCATTGAACAGTGGGGGCATGCATTTACTGTTCACATGAACAGTTTTTTTTTAAAATCATTGCAGTTAATTGATTTTACTTGCATTGTTCGTATTTCTTCGTATAAATACAAATAATATATTTTTTTTTTAAATTATTTTAAAGTGAATTAAATTTATTTATGATAATATTTTATTTAATTTTATAGTTTTTGTCGGATGAATTTTATATGCAATAGAATTGTAGATACTTTAATAAAAAAATAATTTTTTTTATGATTTATTTCATGATATAATAACAATAGTAAAATTCACAATATTTAAATTAAAAACTATCAATATTAATATATATTTTTAAAAATTATTTATAATCTTAATTTAAGCATGTTTAACCAAATATATTAAATTAATTTTTTTAATTTTAATTTTAGCTATAATTTTAACTAAATATTAATTTTTTAAATTAATTTTAATTAAAAATATTTTTTATAATTATAACCATATAACCGTAAAGTTAACACAGTACAAAAGATAATCTGGTTTGCTAGCCACCTTTATGCTAACAATTAGGATACTGTCCGCCTGTCTACGTACTGGTTCACGTGTTATTTCGGCAAAAGTGACAAGTCCTATCACAGGCGTACCAGCCCAGATGTCATGAAACCTTAGTCCAACCCATTGCACAATTTTCTTTTGTACGGGGTGAAGCAAGCACAGCTCATTTCAGGCCTTAGCTGCGTATTGATTGACCCATTTATTTCACTTCTCGAGAACCTTTATTTAAATTCATGATCTCTCTATAAACAGGGCTGTACTTGTCAATCGAGCTTACAAGATTACACTCTAGTCATGTTTTATCACCAAGAATCACAACGATTTTACTACAAATTGATGGAAAACAAGAGAAATTCGAGGGTTTTAATTGAGATATTTCCTTTCGTCTCTTTTCTCAAATCTCAACAAAAAGTAGCGCAAAAGATCAATAGAATAGCTTTAAAACTAACGAGTGGTCTTGCTCCCATCACATGCCTTGCTATCAAAGACATTAGGCAAATCCCCCTCATGCCCCAATTCACAGCACCATCCCAGTCCATCATGTCCTCATTTCATGCCATTTCCTTCTCTCCTTTCCTTTCTTGACCTAACATGTTCAAATTCTTTACCCCACAGCTCTCTCCAGCACTAAACAAAACTCCACAACAGTCATTATTCGGTCAGTCTCTTTCATTGCTTTCCAATTCATAGTTAAACAAAACCCACCTACGCAACATATCCCATGACCAAATCAAAACCAGTACAGAGCCACATACCCCGTTGACACTCAGTTTTTCCTTTGCCCAGAAATACACTCAAAACGAAAATTTTTTCAAAAAAACCAAACCAAAGCCTCATCATTCTTTAATTGACCTTGCCCTTCCCAGGTTATTCCTGTCCTTACCAATTCCCTCACTCTCTCTCTGATTCCTCTTTTCTTTACTAATCTTCAAAACCCTAAAAAAGGACCCTTCTTTAGTCTCTTCTTTGATCATGCCCTCTTTATTTCCTTGTAAAAATCACTACTTTTCCAAAACCCTTGATTCTCCCCACAAAAAGCTAACATTTTAGGGTTTATTTTCCAATTCCAAGCCTAACCCATTTTTCTACGCACAATGTCGGATGATATGTTAATGCATTTCTCTTCAAACTCTTCGAACCAGTCAGACCAATCTTTGCCTACTAAAATTGCTAAACTTGAAGCTCGTATGGTTGGCAAGGTACCTTCTGTCACTCCTGGCCCCCCTGTTCAGCTACAGCAACAGCAGCCGCAGCATCAACAACAACAGCAACAGCAACCCATTTGGTCCTCTGTTTCTCCTGGTCCGAAATTTGGGCCTCCTGAGGAATTGGCAGAGTCTAGTGATTCTGACGATGATGTAAGTTTTTCATGTGTCATTGTATTTTATTTATGTTTTTGCTGATGAGTTTGAAGTGGGTTTTATAGAAATTTTGAAAATTTTGATTGTGGAGTTACGTTGGAGGATAATTACATTGACCTGTTTGATATATTTTTTTATTGAATTATGAATCATTATATGTCTTGTTTGATCATACTTTATTTATGCGAGGGCGTAACATCTTCATATTCATTCCATATGTGCTTGTACTTTACCATACTTTGGTTGGAAGTTGAATTGATTGCTTGGTTTTCTTTCGTTTGGACTTTGTAAGGAGCCTGTAGATGTAAGGGAATTTTTACGTATTGATAATATATGTTCCTGATGGGATAAAGTGTGCGATGATTTTAATTGAGAAAGTAGTTTTCTTTATTTCTGAAACATGGTTTATTATATTTTCATTTTTCTGGTTTCTATGTGTGGGATTTTAAGAGGATGGCTTCTGTGAGCATTCTGCTTTGTGTCGGGTTAGATAAAACTGACAATGAATAGACATTCAAGTTGGAATATTTCTTCTGTAAAAAACATTTTAGCAAGGTTCATGTCAGTTTCTGGCTTTGTGATTGCAACTTCCTTTTGCTCTTTATACACGAAAAATCTGTTGATCTATTGCAATTAGATTGGGATGGTGCACATGGAATTTTTTGAGTATGCGCTCTGCACTTGGGTAGCAATGCTACATGTGCAGAAAAGCTTATCATTTTGATCAAGGAAGTTGATCAAACCTTTTTGCGAAATAAATATTTGCAATTTCTACAGGATTGGAAATTGGCAATTGGCAATAAGTTTTTGTGCATTGTTATCTCTTTGAGGCCAACTTGTTTTCATAAAAATTGTCTTGTTACAGTAATTTGTCAGTTGTTCAGTTTTCCTGATCCATGATTTTGTCTTTTTATTCTTCTATGCAGAATGGAGGGGAATTTCTTATACAAGCAAACACTCAGAAGCGCCAAAGATTACAAGAAAATAACAATTCAGCTGTCATCGAACATCTTGAGGTAGATTGATGTTAGACAATCTACTTTGGTCTGATATGTAAAATTGTTTCCATGTCAAGTGCTTTAGCCCATATCCTTATATAAAATTTTCTAGGTTTAGTTAGATATTGCTTAGGGCTGTTTCTTTACTATAAATCCTCGTTTTGACTTTCATTTTAGGCAAAATATTTGCATACTAATCTCTGATTAAAACAATAAAAAGACACAGGCAGTGAATGATGGAAGGCAAAAGACTGGGGAAACTGAAGAGACCAAGGGCGGTTCTGATACAAACAGGAAAAAACAAGGTCGTGGCAGGGGTCAGTCTAATTCTGGTAGAGGTCGTGGTTCCAGAGCTAATGATCAGATTAGATCACAAGTTTCTGTTTCAACAGCCTCACCTTCAAATGGTCAGCTTGAGAACTCGTATCTCAAGGTATATGCTCTATCTTGACAAATTCTACTAAATCCTGGGTTCCTCTAATTAACAAAATTAAGTTTTATTGTAGATTTCATTTCATCATTGCAAAGAAAAGGGGAACTCCTTTTAGGGGCTCAGTTCACCTACTCTTAATTTGGTGTAGGACAAAAAAATATGTATTTATGCCTCAACAACATAACCTACCAATGTGTGAAAGAGGGAGTTTCCACACCCATGGGGTGTGTTGGAAACTTTAAAGATGCGACTGCACAGGTTGAGATGCAAATGACTGAATGAGCCAATTTTCTGATCATATGATAGATTGAATCGCTTGTATGGTTGCGCCCCTTATACTTTATGTCATTATGTGTGCATTTTATGCTTTTAGATCCATTAATCGGAGTCTGAAGGTATGTTGGTAAGGAAGAAATTTATTATGTGCTAGGGAAATCTACATCTGGTATTTCATTTCTGGAGCCAGGCATGCCATGTTTTTTTTTGTTTGAAAATGAGGATATTAACTACATTTTTGAGGCTCTAGATGAGCAGCTGCAAAGTTTATTGAAGAAGTGAGTTGTAATAACCACATCTAAAAGGAATACATTGCATACCATACCCTTTTACATAACTGAAGGGGATATCTGCACATATAAGACTACCAAAATGAAGCAGCAATTTTGTTTCTCCCTGTAACATGGTGCCTTTTGATGTCAAGATAACCAATTAATTATTTTTTTTGGAACCCATCGAGAATTCATTAGAAAGGAAATGTTCATTGTTTGATGAGGGAACAAACCAGATAAGACATCTTGGTGGCTATGCTAAACTGTGGTAGTTACCTGTGGCATTAGGTTACCTGACTGATGGTTGCTAGTGAGGAACAGATAGTGAGCTTCAGTAACAGACTCAAGCCTCTATGGGCAAATGACATATGATTTTAGGGGGCTTGCCAATTGTATTTTAATTTGAATTCTTATTTGGCAATGACTTTCAAATGTTTCATTAAGTATTTTGATTAAAAGTACTTTTAGTTCCTTTTCCTCAAGTCAAACCCTCCTTGGTTTTAGTAACTCTTTTACTATTCATTTAATGTTTATTATCATAACAGTGATGTGATTGTAGTGACTGTAAATGAGGTCGAAAAAATAGTCATGCATCTTTTTATTGTCATGAGTGAGTTGATCTGATTTGAAGGCCATTTATCAGTTTTCCCTTGGTTAAGCTCTATGTGGCGAGTGCATTTGAGTTGTTTCTTTTTTGAATTCATTGCTGTTTCTTCCTTTGATTTATTTTTGTAATTGACTGTAAGGAACTAAAGACCACATCAAAAAACATTTATTCATTCATGCTGAACTCCTATGCTGCAGCTTAATGGTGAGAAATATAGGATGCAGTCTATAGAAATCTATTTAGAATGACAGGTAATCTTCACTATGCAGGATAACAGGCCCAAAGAGCACTTCAGAAATGATAATCACATATCCTTAGAGGTATCAGTTGGGTGATTTGGTATTGAATTGCTTCTATTCATAGAATTCCTGCATTTTGTTAGATTTTATTATTGTTGTTGTTGTTATTTCCTTTGCAATTTGCAGAATGGTTTCCTCAAGGCTCAGGGTGCTTCCATATTGCATCTTTACATGCAAATCTAATCCCTTTTTTTTTCAACTTAATTTAGGAGGAGCTTGCATCTTTACGTGCAAAAGTTTCCATTCTAGAGGAAGATCTTCGTAAATCTCGTCAAGAGGCCTCTAATAATCATGATCTCTGCCACCGGTTAGAAAAGGTATACTTCTGCCATTACTCTATGGATTTTGACTATCCGCTATGCTAATACTCTTTTATTTTATCTGCACAGGAATTGAAGGAACACAAAGATTATGAACAACAAATGAAGCCAAAGGTATGCTATTGGGAGTTTAGTCTTTATCTATTTTTGCCTCTCGCATGCTGATTAAATAATATATAGTAATAAAATTACCCAAGTGTTTAAAGTTTCTTTGCATGCTATGATACCATATGATTCTTAGCAAATTGTTTAAGCTGTTAGCTTCAAATTTTGTGAACTTTACGAAATATTTGCATCGTTTAAATTGGGAACAGATTAAAGGTGACAAAGAGATTAATTTTTGCTGTTTTACAGTGAATGTTTAAATGGTTCGGGAAGGTTCTGGAGACAATAAAACTTCAAAAGAACTAGACATTTAATGTTGTTTTAGCAGAAAAGCACTGACATTATTCTTGTTAGATTGTACATTTGCCTATTTCAATCATTTTATGTCATCACCTACAAAACAGAATTTTGAGAGCCAAATATAACAAGATTGAGGCAGACATGCTATGTTCTTCCCTCTTGAATGTTATGGTAGACTTTGTAGTGGGTGGGTTTTTCTTTGCTACTTTGATAATACATCAACTGCTATAAAGGTTGCCATAGATTTTTTATGGGATGCATTTGCAAGGCAGTTTCACAGTGGCATAATGTACTTATGCTCTGCGATTGAAGTTGTTTTTGAGAAAATTGTTGAAGAACTCAACCAATGTTCACAGTTATTATCAACTCTGCAGTCTTAGGCATGCATTCTTACAATTCATTGGTGAAGAGTTCTGTGCTTGTTGATTGGCCTGATTTGAAATTGTCAGTTAATACCATCTGCACATGACTTCAGTTTGGAATCCTGATACTGATGTTTTCATTTCTCACTGGGAAATTATTCTGCTTCCTCATGGAACAGTGTAATAAGTTTTTGATTAGCAGAGTTGTAACCATTTTTAATATTCATTTCCTTCTCGATGCAGAGAACAAAAATTATATCTGATCTGCTGATATCTGTTTCAAAAGCAGAGAGACAAGAAGCCAGGATGAAAGTTCGCCAGGATTCTTTAAGACTTGGCAGTGTGGGTGTTATCAGGTATACCCACATCTTTTAAGCTTCAACTAAATGTGCTTGAATGGACCTTCACCCTCTCTTGGTGCCCTGTCTGAGTGATTTAAAAACAGAAAGATGAAAAAAAATATTGATGAAAAAGACCACCAAATGTAAACAGCATCTGGACAGCAGGGAACTCAAACAAACCGGGACCATGATCTCTTGAACTGTGTATTATCCCTATGTGAAGTTTTGGATTCTATAACATTTGCATACGCTCTAGAATGATCATGTTTGTTCACACAAGGCCAGTACAATCTACTTGGAAAGACACAATCTATAACACCACCAAGTTTTGGATCTATAACTTTCGTGAGTTCCTTACATCCTTCACTCAATATGGGAGTTCTTATGTTCTTTTGTCTATTTCAGAGCTGGAACTATCATATCTGAGACGTGGGAGGATGGGCAAATGCTGAAAGATCTAAATATTCATCTTGTATGTTGTAGTCAGATCTCTCATTCTCTTTCTTCCCCCTACCTAGTTCATTTACCTTCATATAGCTCAATTTTCCCTTCACAATGATTTTTTTATTTTAATGTGTTTTCAAGGTTGTGTCCTTATAAACTGAATTTTTTCCCCTGGTAAATTAAATTACTGTGCATTTAGAACACGTGAAGCAGAAGTGGATATAGAAGACAAGGATTGAGGCATATCTTCATTCTTTAAATAAAATCTGATAGAAATTGTTTTTAGGTTAAATGCGACACACACCAATGTATGTTGGGTTTATGTATACACATATCTTTAATGTTCTTGGTTTTGGTAATTTTCTTGATGGCTCATACAATAATCATTCTTCTGAATGATTTTTGCTGTTATGCCAGTTCTATTACAGATGTTCTTTTCACATTGAATGGTAATGTGCCCATCTTATGCTTTGACAGATCCCAAAATACGTTGTTTTAAATGTTGTCTACTAATAGCTTGCTGCTTTCTATTTTCACCATGATTCCACTAAACTCAATATATGGGTTTTATATCTTTAATCCTGCAGCCTTTCAATGTTTTGTTGCCATAATTTTCTGTTATGTTTTTTTCAGTCTTTAGTTTCAATAGGCAATAATTCCAGTTAAGGAATTATTTAATGAACTATATTTATGTTCAAAGGAATTATTTAATGAACTATATTTATGGTTGTAATATTTATGTTTGAGACAGTTATTAGAAACTAAGGAAGCTATTGAGCGACAGCGGAAATCATTGAAGAAACGACAATCTGGTAAAACATATTTCTTGTAATATTTGGCAATACCTTCTTTTTACTCTAAAACATATTTCTTGTAATATTTGGCAATTCCTTCTTTTTACTCCTTCTGCATACTTTTGGCCCCTTTTATACTATGATTAAAGCACACATATACATATAATCTTATTCGATCTTTGGTCACAAGGGCATTATGACTGTCAACACTCTAAAATATTGGCTACGAGAAACCATGAGAAGCTTTTGTGGCTTTGCAAGTTACCCCCATAGATATGATCTACTTCCTGATAAGCCTCATGCTTGCTGTCATGCATGCCTACATGCCAATATGTGTATGATAATGTATTGCTCAAATGTTGTCCTGTGTGTATAATTTCCTAACTCAGGTGGATTTTGTTTGACCTTTTGGTGCAAAATGGTTTATTATCACTTGTGACTGCCACCCCCTGCACTACAGGGTGACAGACTGATGTCTCACTGTGGTGCGGAGGCCTCAAACACCAGCAAAAAATGTAACCTATCAAGAAGTAAATGAGAAGAAAATAAATGCACGCTTAGTATTTAACCCCCCCCCCCCCCACTTTTTGATCATGGAGCAACCTCCTGAGATTGACTTTAGTTGCTGTTGCTGTGAAGACAAGGGTGACGGTACAGATGCAGAATCAGGAGTACAAGAAGAAGATTTTCTCATCCAGGATGAGATTTTTAAATCTCGTCTCGTGAGCATGAAGCGTGTAAGTCATTCTGTTATCTCCATGCTGCAGTTGGTAAGGATTGCAAAAGTTGGAAATGTTCATTTATACATACATCCCATGCAATTGAGTTGTTGGTTCACTGCAGGAGGAAGAGACTATTTTGCGTGAAAGAGATCGCTATGAACTGGAAAAGGGACGGCTCATACGTGAAATGAAACGGATACGAGATGAGGATGGTTCACGTTTTAATAATTTTCAGATTTTAAATCACCGATATGCCCTTCTAAATCTTCTTGGTAAAGGGGGATTTAGTGAGGTTTACAAGGTCAGAACTTCGGCAAGTCAGTTCATTTGATTATTCAAATATTAACTACTGCTTGTTTGATCAATTTTCCTATTTACCATGACAAAAGTCTAGATCATTTTGTTGCCATCATTGGCAATTGTAAAAGCATATTTTTTTGCAGCGATTTGAAGTGAGAAATTTCCAGCAGGCTTATGATTTGGTGGACCATAGATATGTTGCATGTAAGCTTCATGGTCTGAATGCTCAGTGGAGTGAGGATAAGAAGCAAAGTTACATTCGGCACGCACTGCGAGAGTACAATATTCACAAGACCTTGGTGCATAATCACATCGTTCAGCTTTGGGACATTTTTGAAATTGACCAGAATACATTCTGCACTGTCTTGGAGTACTGTAGTGGTATGGCATTTAATCTCTTGACAACTGTTGGTCTGTTTATAGTTTGATGTATAGTAGACTAAAAACTCTCAATCTTTTACAGTATCCAAACATTTGAGTTATATAATTTGCCTCCAGTTCTCAGATTTTTTCTTTTCATTTACCTACCTTTTTTTTTTTTCTCAGGTAAAGATCTTGATGCTGTTCTTAAAGCTACACCTGTATTACCTGAGAGGGAAGCTAGGATTATTATTGTCCAGATATTTCAAGGCCTTGTATACTTGAATAAAAGATCTCAGAAGATTATCCATTATGATTTGAAGCCTGGGAATGTTCTTTTTGATGAATTTGGCATTGCAAAAGTTACTGATTTTGGTCTTAGCAAGATTGTGGAGGAAGATGTTGGATCACAGGGAATGGAACTTACATCTCAGGGAGCTGGAACGTATTGGTGGGTAACACTGCAGTTTGTCATTTGTGATTTATACTGGATGTTGTAAATGTTCTATTCTTTTTTTATAACACTGCAGTTTGTCATTTGTGATTTATCCTGGATGTTGTAAATGTTCTATTCTTTTCTTCTTCTTTTTTTCAAGACATGAATGCACTTGCACTAATTTACTAGACATCTCTTTCACTCGTACTAGTGATAAAAAAATCTTTTCTAGTTTGGCTACCTGGGCAACATTTTGATTCTGCTTTCTTTTGTAATTTTAGGTATTTGCCACCAGAATGTTTTGAGCTCAGCAAGACACCTTTAATATCTTCAAAGGTAAGTGAACTCTATTTTCTCCCCATTGAAGACATTTAGTCACAGCCAGAGCCAAGAAAACACAATGCTTTTTTCTGAAATGAGGATTTCTCATATTTTTGGGTCTCATGCTCCTCTGAATTGTGTGCTCATCAGCCTTTCAGTGGTTGAGTCTGTTTAGTCCTTAGGAATTTCCAACAGTTGGTTATCACCAGAGACAATCAACGGCTTAAGCTTCATGTATTTTATTTTAACCTTCTTTGAAATGCTCTTTCTTGGGATACAGGTTGATGTCTGGTCAGCTGGAGTACTATTTTACCAAATGCTCTATGGCAGACGTCCTTTTGGGCACGACCAAACCCAAGAACGAATACTTCGTGAAGATACAATTATAAAAGCTCGCAGGGTTGAATTCCCTTCAAAGCCTACTATCTCAAACGAGGCAAAGGTGAGTGACGTGTTTTGGCAGTTCTCACTGCGTGTTTGCTTGGGTCTTATTTTCTCTGCACTGGCCGGACAATGATATTGTACGTATTCCTGATGGATTACAGGATTTGATTCGTCGATGTCTAACCTATAACCAAGCAGATAGACCAGATGTCTTGACCATTGCTCAAGATCCATACCTTACTTACGTAAAGAGGTAAAGAGTGTACAAAGTCACAGATTAAAGATTTGTAGAGGGCGGGGAGGTGGAAGATTTCCTTTTGGCCAAGCTGGAAACAAAGTTGTTGCCGTAAAACTTGGAATTTTGTATAGGTTGTAAAGATTTGTAACTTTCCCGTGCTTTTTCAAGGTAACAAATCTAGGCATCTGCTCCCCCGTCCCCTCCTAGTTCATTTTTGTTTCGTTCGTTGTAATTCTTGCCTGTATCTTCTCCGCCTTCAGGAAAAAAGAAAATGAAATATATAGATAAATTGGTTTAACTTGACGGAATGGTCAGTAGGCGAGCTTGGTGCTTATGCCAAACCTAACTTTGCTTGCTCTTGAGAACCGAGTTCTTTGCTTGACAATTATCCTTCACCAGCCTGCGCCAAAGAACCCAGCCCCACTAATCGCCTCTCTCCCCATGATTGGCATGATACGCAGTGTGCACGCACAGAGTCCGTATGGTATTCAACACCCCGTTCTCACTTGATATCAGTCCTTGCAATGTTTTGATCCATGCATCAATGGAGGCAAGCGAGCACGTGTAGTAGCAGACTAACCATCATTTTAACACTAAATTTATCATTCCTGCATATGCTTCATGGATATAAAGATGGAGTTATTAGTAAAAAGAAGAGATAAAATCAAATGCCAGTAGGTTCCTAGGCTAGCGGTAGTGAGATGCATTTGCAAAAGGTCACTGTTCAAAGATTCTTCCAAGAATTCGAGTTCAACAAAATAATCTCATTTAATAGTTCCATGTTCCTGAAGTGGTAGCTAATTCATTTCTAAAATACAGTTTCTTCTAAGATATGATAAAATAATGTGCTAAAAATTATGCATCTGAATTTGGATGCTAGCCAGCGTTATATGGAAATATAAAAGTTAATATTTAATTTATTTTTAAAATAGATAAAGCATTTTTTTCATATTAAATGGACGTGTTTATCACAGGATCGATGTTCGCAGCCAGAATATTTCCTCAGCTAATCATTAGGGTTTGTATTATGATGAGAGAATGACCAAAAAATCATGTCCATTTGGAGCTCCTCCGTGCCTACGCCTATCGGATATGCAATGGAGTTTATCCCTTCTCTTTTTCTTATTCTTTCGTGATAATCAAGGGACGAGTCCTAATATTAATTATTTTTGGTAGATGTGACACTTTAACTTCAAGGTGTATAGCTTCTCATAATCTCTTACCCAAATCGTGTTTTAATTTAAACTAAAAAAATATTTAACCTAGCTCAAATCTCTTTCAAATTCTAAAGCGTCAACACCGGAGAATTTGTATTTTTTTTAAATGAAACGACTTTCTTTTTTAATTAAAAACGATTATCTTGAGCTAACCAAGTCATTCTTCACTTAACAATTCAATTTGTTTTTTTAATGAATCAATATCTTTTAAATGAAAAATTATTAATTCAAGTTCATCCAATTTCTTTTTGGGTTAGACACTAAAAAAATCTTAAAATTATACATTAATCTTGAAATTTATGAATATAAAACACAATTGTTTTTACTATTAAAAGTTTGTTTGGTATTGTGGTGATAATTATTTTTAAAATTATTTTTTCATTTTAAAATTTATTAAAATAATATTTTTTAATAAATTATTTTTAACATTGACATATCAAAAATATATAAAAACATAAAAATAATTAAAATAATTAAATTCTTTTACAAATACTTTAAAAAAAATATCGAAGTCACCTCTTATGTTTGATATTTTTTAATAAATTATTTTTAACATTTACATATCAAAAATATATCAAAACATAAAAACAATAAAAATAATTAAATTCTTTTACAGATACTTTAAAAAAAATATCGTAGTCACCTCTTATGTTGGTTAGTGATCAGGTCGTATTTGAGTATCCTGTGCAAATACATAAGAGGCAAATGGTGCATTAAAACTAAGAACTGGCTAGCACTTCATCCAACACAGACCACTCAGTTAGAACCACGCAAATATTATCCCAATCGCATAGAATTCTACTTGCCCTGGCTAAACTTCTGATGGCATTATCTTTCTCCTCTACCTCCACAATCCCACGAACAAACCCGACTTTGCAATGCAATCACAGCATAAATAATGTTCGGAACCGAAAACTCAATGTGATTACTAGATGTGAATCTAGAGAATCATTATCATCAGAGACAAATTTGCCAGCAAAAAGTACTGCCAAACTTGGGATAGGGTCTCCTGTAGTTGTTATTGAGGCTCCCAAAATGATCAAGACAGCAGCAACCATGCCCTGCCTCCGGGTTAACGCTGGCTTGGTTAAGCCTGGTGATGTGGGAAGGTAACCCTTCTCTCGCTCTCTTGAAGCTGTGTGCATATATAGCAGATTGTTGTTGACCAAGTATTGATGAATATACGATTCGATATGTGTTATGTGCAGAATTGTGTCAAGAAAGCCCAAGGATGTGTGGGCAGTTCGTCTTGCTATTGGCACCTATCTCATAGATGGCAAATATTTCAAGCCCTTGGAGCTCAGTGAATGACGAGCTACGAGGTTGCTTTCAGGTGGGATCGGAAGACTTCAGGCTCCTGTACGGGTGTGATAATGGAAGTGTAGTAGAACACGCTTTGAATGGCAAAGCTTGAGATTTTTCTCCCTTGTTCTTTCTTTATCAATATGATATTTTCTTCGTGCCCATATATCATAATTAACACTGCATGAACTAGAGGACTTCACCTCCAGGAACTTGCATCAATGGCAATCTTTTTCTTGACAAGAAAATTAGACCCACATCTTTCAGATGCAGGTTCAATAAACTTCGTAGAAATGTATAGCCAACTTGGCATGACTGCCAATCAAGACAGGACTCTAGAGCCCAGCTGGTAATCCACAAGGATGAGAGAAGGGGGTTCTTGTACAATGGGGAAGGAAGTGCTTGTACCATGGCCATACAAATTCTTATCCCCTTCGATCCTCGCCCTGTTCGTTGCATCGATCTGTGGCAAAACTGCATCTACTTGATAAAACAAGCATCTTTTACTGCCTGATTATAAAAGAGAAACCTGAGGTGAATATGTATAGTTAATGGATTACTGTGCTAATGTTAGGTTATTTGGCGCATCAATACCATTAAGACAAATACCAAAATTAGAGGAAGTGGCTTCTTTAGTTAGGAGTGTGATTGACAATTGCCATGAATGAGCCTGAACATTACTTCTTCCAATTTTTCCACGAGAAATAGCTGATATCTAAAGGCTTTGGCACATGGAATTATGGTTTATTGGTTACAGAAAACAAGATTTCCCTTCCCTTCTCTTGATTTCAATTTGCCCAGGCAAAAAATGTTCACAGGGTACCCTTCCCTTCTCTTGATTTCAATTTGCCAAGGCAAAAAATGTTCACAGGGTACAGAACCTTATAAACAAAAACCTAACGCGCTAAATCTTAATTACGGTCTTCTCGTATCCGAAACCACATTAGATGATGAAAATATGATCAAGAGTTCACGATCTAGATAAGAAATTAATTAGTAATTAGTAGAGTTGATCATTGATATTCCATCTCTAAACACAATTAAATGACCATTAGCAACTTTTTTTCCATCAAACAGATAAATTGATCAGCTACTTCTACTGAGCAATCCGAACTCTTTTAACTTCTAGAAAGTAAAGCTCACCAGATTGATCAGGAGTTAACACGGAGAGTTTTAACTTCTAGAAAGTAAAGCTCACCAGGTGATTCGAAACATCTCAACAAATCTAAACTAGTATTGATCAGGAGTTAACACGGAGAACCGATAATTTCGTCAGTGTGTTTTCCCAGTTTAACTACTCGTTCTACGAAACAAAACCTCAATCTTGCTTGCAGTTACAGAAATCAATAATAATAATGTTTCCTTGTCAGCAAATAAACTTAGTAGATGATTCAAGAAACCATCTTTTTTGAAGAAACCCACTTGCCATTAACCCAATCCAAGTGAATCCTCAATCTTGAGACATGGTAAGCTATCCCATCCCCTGTCGTCTCGAAGTAGACAAAATACAGAGGCCCTCTCTGTCCAGTAACCTTGCCTATCCACGACCCATCATTGTCAAAAGCGTCAACCTTATCAAACACAGAAAACCCGCTTCGAAATTTGATTCTCGGTGGCACTGGCCTCGCCTCTTCAGCAGAAACTGTCTCTATCAGTTGCTTTGACATATCTTCCTCTTCGAGTAAGTTATTCTATTGCACTGCAAGAGAGTTGGCATGAAGTTTCTTGACCACTGTTGCTGTATAATATATGACCCAAGAAGGCCTTCTTGTTTGCTGCGTACTTCTACTCTGTCTCCTTTGTCGAACTCCATTGTTGTTAAAGAAATCAACAGAGAAAGAAAGAGAAGATTGAAGGAAACTCGGTGACAGGAAGGTGAAATTGCCGATTTTTTTTGTTAAATTCATTTAGGTCAAATTAAATAACCGAACCATACCGATCAGTTATCAATTTTAAATTTTTAGAAGTTTGTACGTGAGAATTAATTGTGCAGTGCCTATTGTCTAGTAATGGAGAACCCGGTTGAGAATTTGTTTTTGCAAGGGACTTGATTGATATTTGTTTTTAACTCGAGACTTTACACTTCGTTGACGAGAAGAAACAAGAGCCCAGACCAGCAAAAGGCCCTTCTTACAAGGCTTTTGCTTAAAGAGCCCAGGTTTACAGGATTGTAGACCAAATTCTTCCGGTCCAAAACCTTGCACGACAAAGAAGAATTCAGTTTTTTCATAATAGCTGTTATTTTTTAAAACATGTTTTATTTTGAAATATATTAGAATAATATTTTTTAAAGTTTTTAATATCAAAATATTAAAATAATTTATAAACACCTAAAAAAATATAATATCAACATATTAAAATAATTTATAAACACTTAAAAAAATCTAATTTGAATTAAATAAAAAAATATTTTTAAAACATAAACATAAATATAAACAAACACACAGTAATTCAATGTTTTGATGATGGGAAAATGAGAAATAAAATCCTATGGCCATAGTCTATCAATCCATCCATTGATCAAGTGATGAATACAATAAAAGTTACTAAGATTTGAGGATACTAGCCGAGTTATAAATTAGACAGGTTAATCTTGTATGTTAATAAAAAAATAACATTGTTCTAAATTTTATTTTTAATAAAATTAAATAATGTTTTAATTGATTAATGAATCATGTTAATTTTTACTAAATTTAAATTTGATTTAAATTAAAATTTGACATTAAATAGATTATAAATGACAACTTCATCTAGTGAACAAGTTGAATTTGATAATATTGAATATGAAAAAAAAATCAAGTCCATACATATATAAAGAACAATAATATTAACATCATGCGAGTGAAAATCTATTCAATAGTACAATTAATTGAATTAGTTTTAAGCACAATATTAATATATTTACTATTTTGTAAACGATATAATCTATATTTTTTTTAGCATTTTCTCACCTGTAGCCTTTTTATCTACTTGTTTGGAACATTTTGATGATTTCTTTTGTTAAAGATTTGCAAAGATTTTGGACAAGGTGGTATGTAATAAAAAAAACGATGGGTCCTTTGGAGATTGGAAAGAGATTTACTTGGGATCATAGTAATGATTATGATTAAAAGTATTTTTTATTTATAAATATATTAAAATTATATATTTTTTATTTAAAAAAAAATATTTTTAAGATTAATAAAAAAATATAAAAATAAATAATTTTTAATAAAAAATTTTGAAATTTAAAGAACGCGGTTTTGCACTGCATTTAATAAAATTAAATAATGTTTTAATTGACTAATGAATTAATCATGTTAATTTTTACTAGATTTAAAATTGATTTAAATTAAAATTTGACTTTATATAGATTATAAATGACAACTTCATCCAATGAACAAGTTGAATTTGATAATATTGAATATGAATATAAAATCAATTCCATACATGTATAAAGAACAACAATATTAACATCATGCGAGTGAAAATCTATTCAATATTACAATTAATTGAATTAGTTTTAAGCATAACATTAACATAGTTAATATTTTGTAAACTATATAATCTATATTTTTTTAGCATTTTCTCAACTGTAGCCTTTTTCTCTACTTGTTTGGAACATTTTGATGATTTCTTTTGTTAAAGATCTGCAAAGATTTTGGACAAGGTGGTATGTAATAAAAAAACGATGGGTCCTTTGGAGATTAAAAAGAGATTTATTTGGATTATAGTAATGATCATGATTAAAAGTATTTTTTATTTATAAATATCTCTCCATTCACTAAATTTCACTCACGCTTAGCCCGCCCATGTTTTTTCTCATTCCCTCGCTAAAACCCGCAAGCAGCGCTAAAATAACCGCTAGGGCTCTCTGCTTAATGGCCTTGACCTGCGCATCTGAATCACTCGCCTAAACTACCAGCTCGCTCGCTCACTTGTTCCCAGTCCTCCGTTTCTCTTCTCCAAGTCAAACCCTCTCTCTACCTTATGAAGTAACAACTTTGTAAGTTTTCTTGATAGTTTAGCTTTGCTACGGAGTTGTTTCAGTGTCTGTATTTGCTATTTAGTGGTTAGGGTTTGAGCCTTCGACTCTGGTATTTTCTGTAAATTTTTGGAAGTTGAAACCCTAGTTTTCGTGCTTCAATGGAAAATCAATCAGTTGGCTTTTGTTAGTTTTTTAATTCGTTATTTTGAATTCGGAAACTGGTTTTTTTCCTTTTAATCTGTTGCTTTTTTTTTGAAAATTTAAATTTATTTATTTTTCAATACTTGAAATAACAGTAAGAAAAATAGTACTGAATCCACTAACGGTGTTATTCGTTAATTTATTTGACAGAGGCTGGATTATTTTGTAATTTCAGGATGCATATAAAGCAGGTAATGCCATGCTGTTTTTTCCCCTTCTGCATGTATTTTTTTTTACTGGAATTAGAAAACTGAATTTGATTTGTGTTTGGATATAGGTGATAATCGAGGGTTTTAAGAGCTATCGAGAACAGATTGCAACTGAGCCTTTCAGTCCGAAGGTTAATTGTGTTGGTAAGTTTGTTTTTCATTGTAGTTTTTATTTTTATAATTTTTATTAACTTGTTTTTTGGGATATAATATACTGAGTGATGAGTGGCAGTACTTTTTTTGATTGAAACCTAGGAGCTGTGGTTCCAGGGTCCCCTTAAATTTACACATTCTCCCTCTCATTTTTTTTTTAATATGGAAACCTACCTAGATTAGGGCATTTTTATGCAGTGTCTCTGTAAGAATAGCTTTCCAATTCTTCACGAGTGTCTGTGAAGTTAAATTGTAAGCAGTGGAAAAAAGTGGCATGATCAGGAACCACTTCCCACAAAATTTCATCAAATGTAGAATTTCCACATCTTCTCAAAAGAGACCTGAAATTGTCCATCTAGTAATGTACAGCACCAAGAATCATCCCAAGAAAGTTTGGTAGTTCCATGACTTTGCCATCTAATAGAAGCATTGCCATGTAATATACATATCGTCACTTTGTCGTCATACATATGTGCACGTGGAATCCCTTTTAAAATCTTGAAACTCTGGAAATGTTAAAACTATAATAGCTTGTTTGGAACCAATGCTGCACTAGAATTGATTTCAACTATTTAAGGAGATTAAATTGATTTGATTTGCTAATTGAATTCTTTTGTTTGGAATAGGTTTTAAAATTGAGGAATTCATTAACTTGAGTTGCTTAAAATACATTATTTATCCAACTTGCCCCCATCCCGAAAAAACTTATTCCAAGTATCTGTATGCGCGCGCGCGCGCATTATTTATCCAACTTGCCCCCATCCCGGAAAAACTTATTCCAAGTATATGTATGCGCGCGCGAGAGAGAGAGAGAGAGAGAGAGAGATGTTTTTGGGATTAATCTTCTAATGGGTCAATTTTGAAGCAAATCACACCCCTTTTAGTGTGATTTGCAAATCTATGAAAATCTTGAATTTTAATTGGTTTTAAAATTCATTTATGCTGCTTAAAGCTTTGCAAACACTAGAATTAGGTAAATGGTGTTGGAATGATATCATTTCTACTCAAACCTTAAGTTTCCAAACAACCTATAAGTGTGAAGGGTATGGAGAGTTATATGTTCAGAGAGGTTGGGAGGCCAAAAAGAGCACCTGATGGCTGTTAAAAGAGGGGAAGCCAAGACCATGACAGGGACGGGGAATGCATTTCTTTTTTGCAGCTCCTTGTTTCAAGGAACTGATTGGATCTTGGTTAATGTAATTTATTGTTCTTTCTTTGTTCTGTACATTTATTTTTCTGACTTGATCCATATAAAATGGGCTATAGTGTGAATTCTTCTGTAATTCCTATATGTCTTCTGCAGTTGGTGCTAATGGATCTGGCAAGACAAACTTTTTCCATGGTGAGTGATCATGTCCCTGAATTTTTTTTTGTTTTTTTTTTTGATAAACTTTTATTGAAATCAAACATCTATCACAAGCTTACAATATGTTTCTTTTGTAGCCATTCGTTTTGTATTGAGTGATCTCTTCCAAAACCTGCGCAATGATGACAGGCATCAATTACTCCATGTATGTTTCATCATATACTATCTCAATTCCAATCTATGAGATCAAGGTATTGTTTTTTGCCAACCTTTTAAGTTTGAATTATGATGATTTCTGCTATTGAACAGGAAGGTGCTGGCCATCAAGTTTTATCTGCTTTTGTGGAGATTGTGTTTGATAATTCTGACAATCGCATCCCGGTAATGCTTCATAACGTACTTTGTTTTCTTTACTGGGTTATGGAGGGTAAATAATGGTCTAGATATTATTACAAAAGGAGAAAGATCCTTATTTTTATGTTCACCTTTTTCTTCTTTTAACATATAAGTTTTCTATGTTGTTACTCTTTTTCCATCTGATAAGGGCATGGTTTTGTTTAAGAAGTTCATTAAGACAAACTGTGGCCTCCATCAGTTAGGACAATGATCCAGGATTCTGCCACTATCCTTGCAGCCATGCATAAAATTGGCAACCTTTCAATGCTTTACAGGAAGAACTAGGGAAAAAAAAAACAATAAATGTGGCCATGCGATTTTCTTTTTGTTCTATTTTCTTCATCCCTCCTAACCTTCAAAAGATGAAAGGAACCTGATCACTCTTCTTCTTCCAAAGTGTTCAATCTCCTCCTTGTTCTTTGTGAAATCTGTTATCTTATAGATCAACCCAGATTGTTTAATATTTTATTAGGCTTTTGTCTTTAATTACTAACATCATGCCAAGTCCTTATACTCCTGGTTTCCTGAGGTTTTGGGTTGGAAGTCTCTATTTCAACTACGTAGTCCCTGCATCAACCAACTGGAACCAACTGTATCACTGTTGATGGCCACCTCAAATGGCAAACTACTGGCGTGGCTATCTTTGTGATAGAAAATGGTTGCTACAGTTTTGAGGATTAGCCTTTTGTTGCTGTTATGTGTGTGGGTCATGCGAGAATTGTGGAAGAGGAGAAAAAAAATTTGATTGGTGCTTCTTTGTTGCTATATTATCTTAACATGGCTGCCAATTGCTTTATACAACGTCCCCTCGATCCATGTTTTGTTTTCCTCCTCATAAGAGATATTGTTACATATGGTGTGTTTTCATTTGTCCTTTTCTTCTTGTTCTTTCACATGTTAATCATGCCTTTTCACCTATGAACAGGTTGATAAGGAGGAAGTGCGTCTTCGAAGAACAATCGGTTTGAAAAAGGATGAGTATTTCTTGGATGGAAAGCACATTACGTGAGTATCTCTCCTTTTTAGAAAAGAAATCAATGTTCTTTATTTACTTTTATGTCTCACTGCGTTTCAATTTGTTTATGTAAGCTCAATGATAGAAAGTCTGATAATTTGTAGGAAAACTGAAGTTATGAATTTACTGGAAAGTGCTGGGTTCTCTCGCTCTAATCCATACTATGTAGTGCAGCAAGGAAAGGTTGGACACCTTAAACCTTTCTTCATGGCATAATCTTCTTAAAATTTATGTATATTCTTTTCCTGCTCTTTTTTTTTTTTTAAATTTCCTTTTTGTTTCTTGTGATACTTCATAGATAGCATCTTTGACATTGATGAAAGACTCTGAACGTCTCGATTTATTGAAAGAAATTGGTGGCACCCGAGTGTATGAAGAGAGACGGCGTGAGAGTTTGAAAATTATGCAGGAAACAGGCAAGGAAGGAATAGTGCAGTTGGGCTTTCTTTTGTGGATGTTTTCCAGTATGTGTATAATTTTATATTTTCTGTCAAGCAGGGAACAAAAGAAAGCAGATAATTCAAGTTGTTCAGTACCTGGATGAGAGGCTGAAGGAACTGGATGAAGAGAAAGAGGAGCTGAGAAAATATCAGCAGCTTGACAAGCAGCGAAAATCTCTAGAATATACTATTTATGATAAGGAACTCCATGATGCTCGACAGAAATTGTTGGAGGTTAGTACATGTCAGATGCCTGGACATGCATAAAGGTTTCTTCGTGTACTGCTTTTATGAATCATGAAGAATGTTACACCAAATTGCTAGTTGAAGTATATACAGGACAGGCATTTCACTGACTAAACACAATTAGGATATGCTGCTCAAAATTTAGCTAACAGCAAATAAATGTGATGAAACTCATTATTTTAGATGTATTAACTCTTTCATTTCTTCCACCAGTTCTTGTACCTTGTTCTTTATGCGCCTATTTATTATGAGATAATTTTGGAGTTTTGAATGGGGAACTGGCGTTGTAGCAGTGTTAGATTGTCTTGACCTTAAATGCTAAGACCTGTCCAGGATCTAAACTTTGTTGTTTCATTTTTTTTTTTCTGAGGTGAGGTATTGCCTATATATATTTATTTGTCCCCATCTCAGGTTGAGGAGGCTCGGAGCAAGGTTTCTGAAAAATCAGCGAAGATGTATAACGATGTGTTGAATGCCCATGAAGAGTCCAAGGACTTGGAGAAGGTGCTCAAAGATCTTACAAAAGAAGTTCAAGCATTGAACAAAGAGAAAGAGGCAGCAGAGAAACAACAAACAGAAGCAATAAAGAAGCAGACAGAGCTTGAGCTTGATGTGAAAGATATGCTAGAGAGATTTTCTGGAAATATCCAAGCCAAAGTATCAAACTCTAACAAAGAGAAAAATGTTAATTATTTTTTAAGGATAAAGAATGCTGAATGTTTTTATTCAATGTATGCACTTGCTTTCAGGATGATGCTATGAAGCAACTTGATATTCTACAGAAAGAAATACAGGATTCTCAGAAGGAGCTCAACAAAATCAGTCCCATCTATGAAGAAAACCTTTCAAAGGAAAAGGATATCACCAAGAGGTAAGCCAAGAATTTTCAATTTTGCGCATGCTTTTGCATGTTGCACATGGACCAGGCACAATTGTTTTGTCTTCTACTAGAATTCTGAGATTGCTTGGTGCTAGTGTATGGGTTTTAGTCTTGTCTGGTACTTAAAGTGAACATGCTCAAGATCAGACTGCATTCAGATAGTGTCCAGGGTTCGCTGCAGCTCCATTACTTCGGACATGTAAAGGAGGCCTTAGATCAGTCATGATGTCAAGTCAGTAAAAAAATTTTTCTGATAGATTTATTCAGTAAAAAGTTTTTGTTTGCTTTCTTTTACAAATTTCTTGATTTTCTTTGCACTCCTGAAGTGTATTTTCTTTCTTGACCTTTGATGGTTCATTGTCTATGCCAAAATAGCACATTTATTTGGGAGAAAAGCTTGTGCCATGTGCAGTATCTTTCTTTCACAAACAGTTTTGGCAACTTGCAGAATAATGGAGCGTGAAAAGCAGCTTAGCATACTTTATCAAAAACAAGGTCGTGCAACCCAGTTTTCCAGCAAAGCTGCTCGTGACAAATGGCTTCAAAAGGAAATTGATGATTTACAACGAGTTCTTTCTTCAAATTTGGCTCAGGCAAGAGTTCACATTAATCTATTCTGATACTTGAACATCATCTCATTATTTTTGGTCCGGTTTGGTTTTTATAAAAAAAAAAAGTAACCAAACTGACATTTTTTTTTTAAAACCGAAACCGAACCGAAACCGGTTCAAACTAACTGGTTTTGGTTCGGTTCTGTTTTTTAGGACAAAAACTGGTTCAAACCAGTTTGGCTTGGTTTTTCCGGTTTTGGCTTGGTTTTTTGGTTTGGTTTTCTTCTAGTTGGGCTTGGTTTTTTCCCCTTTTTTTTGGTTTAGGTTCGGTTCTGTTTGGTTTTTTTCGGTTTTAGGCTTATAAAACTGAACCGAACCAGTCGGGTTTTTCAAAAATTTAATCCGTTTAATCGGTTTTTTTTCACGGTTCGTTTTTTTTTCGTTATTTTTTTCTGGTTTTCTTGGTTTTTCGGTTTTTTTGCTCCTAATCTCAGATGAACTTTATTTTTTTCTGGTTTTCTTGGTTTTTTGGTTTTTTTGCTCCTAATCTCAGATGAAATATTGTTGTCAGGATTTTCCTAATGGATAGATTAGGAGGCAATTTCTTTACTCATGCCCACCATTTAATTAAGAAAGGACCAGGCCTCTTATCAGATAATTCAAAGATCAAAACACAATGTCAAGTTTTTTTTTTTTTTCTAATAGAATGATTAACCTCATTAGTATATTGTTTGTTCATTTTCTTGTATGCTGTTTCCAATCCATGGATTACAGCTCTTATAGGCTGGTTGTTCTAGGTGTCTTTTTCCTCCTTTTGTTTTGTTCTTGGGTACGCAATCTCAGGAGGTTACTCTTTAGTAAATTTAGGTTTGAAAGGAACAATGTTAGCACTTCTTGACTAGTATAGGTGTACCTTAGAAAAGGCTAAAATGTAAGGTCTCTTTTCAACTAAAAGTTTCTCCTTTTTCCTCCTTTTGTTTTGTTCTTGGGTACGCAATCTCAGGAGGTTACTCTTTAGTAAATTTAGGTTTGAAAGGAACAATGTTAGCACTTCTTGACTAGTATAGGCGTACCTTAGAAAAGGCTAAAATGTAAGGTCTCTTTTCAACTCAAAGTTTCTGTAAATTACTCCCTAGGCTATAATTTTAGCTGAAAGGGCTTCTCACATTAGTTTTTTGTTCTTTACTGTCAATAAACTAATGCATACAGCTGACATGACACATATAATAGAACATACTGTAGATGGAGGATTTGCTAATAAGTAATTAGAACAACATTATTTAAGAATTAGTTGGGATTTTATTCCTGGCTTGGTTTGACCTTGTAGGGTGTGGGGCACCTATATATGCACATATATTTCCGAGTCTTAATACTAGATGCATGTTTTGAGTTTTTGCTATTTTGAATAATTCCTTGCTTGTGGATGTCAACAATTCCACTTGTAGATTCAAGGAAGCCTCCTGTGGATTTCTAGATTTTTCCCCTTCCCTTCATACCTTGTTGGGTATTTTTTTCATTTTAGCCCCTAGTAAAATGGACCAAGGAACTGGAACTTTCATGCTATGAGAAATAATTAATTTTTCTTTTCTGCATGAACTGGACACTTTGAGGAGAAAGCTGTTACACTTTCCATATGCTGTCCCGGCTACAAGTGTTCGGCATTTATTCTGCTTTGGTGCAATCTCTGGATTGTGCATGTGCCATGGCTATGGTGTCTAGGTCTATAGCAGTAAGTAATAGATGCCCACCATTAAACGAAAAAAAGAGCCATAAGAGAATTTCTACTTCTATGTTGAGCTGTCTGCAAGGTTTGTGCATACCTGTTTTGATTCATTGAAGAAGTTTTGTTAGTTGGGTTGTGTATGGAATTGAACTTCCTAGCTCTGTTGTTGCAAGTCAATGTGCCTCTCGTGCTGTTTCCTCAATATTCTGATGCTAAATAAGCTGTATACTTGTGTATATCCCCAGGAGCAAAAGCTTCAAGAAGAAATTTATAGGCTGAATGCAGACTTAAAAGAGCGAGATGCCTACATTGAGAGTCGCAAAGCTGAAATTGCAACCTTAGACTCTCTCATTTTCCAGTCACGTGAAGGATTCAATAGTCATAAAGCACAGAGAGACAAGCTGCAAGATGAGCGGAAGTATGGTTATTTTTCTGTATTTATTTTGGTCAGGCTTACTAAAAGTACTCTGGTTGACTTTTTTTGTTTTGTTTCTGTAGATCATTGTGGAAAAAGGAAAGTGAACTTTCTGCTGAAATTGATAAGCTAAGAACAGAAGTTGACAAGGCAGAGAAGAGCCTGGATCATGCAACTCCTGGTGTGAGTAATTTCTTCCTTTATTTATTTAGCTTTTAATTTTACAAGCTTAGTTATCAAAATGCCTCCATGAGTATGAACAGCTTGAATTGAACTTGGAAAAAAGCTTCTTTGATCTTTGATTTTTTCATTGCAACCAAGTTCAAGCGTCACATTGAGGCCTGTTTGTGATGAAGTCAAGACCAATCAGGCCTATGCTTGCCTTGAAGGGGCCCATGAACATGAACCTTCAGGCCCACTCTACTGACCTTAATTTGTACTTGAGATCCTTGTGTAATATTTTTAGAACAAAAGCTAAAATGGCTAGCAGTTTAATAAACAAAATTGACTATGTTTCATGCCTGGGCAGCATGCCAGCCTTGCTCTTTTTTTCATTAATTCTTATATTTCTCTGGCTTCTGTTTTAGTCTCAACACTTATAAAATCACTTGCCATGAGACCAGTCATTTGTGAATGAACTGAGCATTTGGGCCAAACTCAAGAAGTTGCAAGCTTTCTAAACAGCAAGCCATGGCTTAAAATAAACCACGATCAAGCTCAGCTTAAAAATCCTTTTCATAGAAGGAAAGTTGAAGCCGCTTGGTTCAACTTATCTTCCATCCAAAATGTGCATGTTACAAGCAATATGTGCTCCATTGCAATTGGTTGATTTTAATGCAGTAGGCATTCATAGTAGCCTAATGTCCTGCTTGTTTGATGCTGCACACAACAATGATCATTTGGTAGAAGTTAGTTTTTTTATGTCATCTGAACCCCTTCCTGTTTCTGGCAACTTTGCCAATGTTATGTTATCAGGATGTGAGGAGAGGGCTCAATTCTATTCGGCGTATCTGCAGAGAGTACAAAATTAGTGGAGTTTTTGGTCCAATAATAGAGCTGCTTGATTGTGATGAGAAATATTTTACTGCTGTTGAAGTTACAGCTGGAAACAGGTATGTAAAATCTATTCTATTATGTTCATTGTTTTCTCTCTTGGAGCCGTGTTCTCAATCTGCTTGACAAGCTGACATACTTGTTATTAGTCTTTAGACCTTATGCTTTGATCACTTCATCGTTGAATGATGTACTTAATATCTGTTTATCTTTTGAGCAGCTTATTTCATGTCGTGGTTGAAGATGATAACATATCAACTCAGATAATTAGGCACCTTAATGCATTGAAAGGAGGGCGAGTTACTTTTATTCCACTTAACAGGGTAAAGGCACCTCGAGTAACTTATCCACAGAGTTCTGATGTGGTACCTTTGCTAAAGAAGTTGAAGTTCTCTCCCAATTTTACGCCAGCATTTGCCCAGGTTGGTTCTCCCTCATGTTTGGTCTTACTGAAACAGTATTGACCCAGCAGAAACATTTATGTGAGTTTTGTTGTTATAAATTAATTTAAACGTTGGACTGCACATAACTGATAATCAGTAATTTCTTGTGCTATTTTGTTCTAGGAGGTTATTTCTCTGTGTTTTCTTTCAATAGATTGCCGATGTTTTCAATAGTTATTTTTTCTCGCTGGAATTTTTTTTTGTGAGAAGCTTGTAGTGATTGCTTTGGGAATCTAAGGATGGATAGTGATGGGAAAATGTTTCAACTTGATAATTTTGGGTGACTGGCACTAACTGTAAAAAGTAAGTGAAGGCTATGAAGTACCTACACATGTGCTACTTCCACCCCTAACCACAATGCTAGACTTTTGAAGTGAAACACAGTTATATAAATGTGTTCACACTTTTTGAAAATTTTATGAGCTAAAACTGTTATGGTGTTGATACGACTCCTGGAGTGGTGTGGGATGTGCTACATGTTTATATTGTCACCTTTTCCCTGATGTGATATTTGTGCATTCTTAAATTATTTTACTGGCATGTTCTTGGATTGTGAAAAGCCGTTGATACCGTTGGTCTTGTATATATATGTGTTCACTTTTCTTTGAAAATTTGCATGAGCTGAAATTGTTATGATGTTGATACGACTCCTGGAGTGGTGTGGGATGTGCTACATGCTTATATTGTCACATATTCTTTCTTTTCCTCCAGGTATTTGCTAGAACTGTGATCTGTCGAGATTTGGATGTGGCCACAAGAGTTGCCCGAACTGATGGTTTGGACTGCATAACTGTGGATGGTTAGCATAGAAATCTTCTTTTTTATTTTACACAATGACCTTCATATGTGATCAAGATGCCTTAACAATTTACTACTGATCAGGTGATCAAGTAAGCAAGAAAGGTGGTATGACAGGGGGCTTTTATGACCATCGGCGCTCAAAGTTGAAGTTTATGAACATGATTATGCAGAATACAAAATCTATTAACATTAAGGAAGAAGAACTTGAAAAAGTCAGATTTATGCTACAAGATATCCTTTTTCACTATTATTTTTTTAAAATTCTTTTTGAACGAGTGCTTTTAGTTTATGCTTTCATTTAATTGCAAAACTGGGGTATGCTTTCTTGTCCATAGTTGTGAAAAATGTGTAAATACATCCCTCATGCTATCTTACTCCTAAAATTTTTGTAAACAAATAAGGCTTGATGTTTGATTGTTGAACAGTAGAACCCTTGACTGCTAAAATATCTTTTGAAGAGCTCAACAGATGCTTCCTTAATTCCTTAGCTTAAATTACATCCATCCATTATTGTCTACTTTGTTTTCGCTAAATTGATCTCACATATAGATCAGAGAATAACTGAACGCGTTACTGAGCAGCAGAAAATTGATGCCAAGCGGGCTCATGATAAATCAGAGTTGGAACAGCTTAAGCAGGACATAGCTAATGCTAATAAGCAGAAGCAATTCATTTCCAAGGCTCTTGAAAATAAGGTACATTTAGACTGTCAAGTCACCCTTACCTTACCACTGGCAGATTATCCTTTCTTTAGTGTCCGTTACATTATTGGTGTTAGTATTCTTATTCCTCTTTCAATGGATCCTATTTATAGGAAAAATCACTTGCAGATGTCCGGAATCAAATAGATCAGCTTAATGCCAGTATGGTCATGAAACAAGCTGAGATGGGCACAGAGCTCATTGATCACTTAACACCAGAGGAAAAATATGAACTATCCCAACTGAACCCTGAAATAAAAGACCTTAAAGAGAAACTTATTACCTGTAGAACAGATCGCATCGAGGTTAGAAATCTCAACCTTGTCTAGTAGTAATTGTAGTGTCCTTTGTGGAATGTGTTCTGTTTCACATGAATGTGCATTTTTCATTACATAGACTGAAACAAGAAAAGCAGAGCTAGAGACTAATCTTACAACTAACCTGAAACGACGGAAGCAAGAGTTGGAAGCCATAATATCAACGGTTGACTCTGACACGTTACATGGTGAAGATGAATTGAAGAGGCAGGAACTGAACGATGCCAAATCTCTGGCTGAAGTCACAACACTGGAACTCAAAAGTGAGCTATGAGTTTCTAAAAATTCGATTTTAATATTTAAATATAAGAAGAATTTTTTTTGACTGGTTAATCTTCTCAGGAGTTTCTGACAAGATAGATAGACTAAAGGAGGAACTAAAGGAGAAAAAAGATAAAAAGACAGAACTAAAGGTTTGCCACCTTTTGCAGACTGTTGATCTTTAGGATTTGTTGCAGCAGCTAAGATGACAACTTGTGTTTCCAGGTTTTGGAAGACAGATATGAAAAAACACTTCAAGATGAAGCAAAAGAATTGGAACAGCTATTGAGTAAACGGAGTATTTTTCTTGCTAAACAGGAGGAATACTCTAACAAAATTAGGGAACTGGGTCCTTTGTCATCAGATGCTTTTGAAACGTATAGCTTCTCTCTGAACTTCAAATTTACCTAATTGTTTCTTCATGTGAAAATGACTTCAATCTGAGCTTCAGTTTTCTCGTGCTTGGGTTTTATTGTATTGTTAAACTGTCATGTTTTGTAATCAACTGAGATCCCTGAGGTTTTTTTAATTGATTTATTCTGCCTGTTTTTCCACGCCAATATTTATGTTGAAATCTTAGAAGATGATGTTTTTTTTTGTCTTGCCTCGGCATGTACTTGGTACCTATTGAAACAGGTAATGTTTGCATGCTTCCACTTATATATTGTTTCTTTTGATAAATGACATACTCTCTTGTATTGGAGCATATAGGTATAAGCGGAGAGGCGTGAAAGATTTGCATAAAATGCTTCATAGGTGCAATGAGCAGCTTCAGCAGTTCAGCCATGTAAACAAGAAGGCACTAGATCAATATGTAAACTTCACAGAGCAACGGGAGGAACTTCAGAAAAGGCAAGCTGAACTGAATGCAGGTGACGAGGTATTATTGTATAGAATTTTATATTTAAGTCTCTTCTTTAGTACTTACTGTTTTTAACATGAGTTTATGATTTCTGTATCTTTACTTTAATGCCTTTTTGCAGAAAATAAGAGAACTTATATCTGCTCTAGATCAGAGGAAGGATGAATCAATAGAACGCACTTTCAAAGGTGTTGCTCGACACTTTCGCGAAGTATTCTCTGAACTTGTGCAGGGTGGTCATGGTCATCTGGTCATGATGAAGAAAAAGGTTAGTTAAAGTAGTGTTTTAAGCCTTAGTTTCTTTTTTTTCCCCCATCTCCAACTACCATATCACTTTTTTTAACTTTTCTAATCAATATGCTGGTTCATAATTTATAAATCCATCCTTAGTGTCCCATAAGCATATTTTTTCTTGCTCAAAATCTAACCCTTGCACTGTTTGTCCTGCTGTGATGGTGATTTTTTTTAAATGTTGACAAAATAACTTGTCAAAATCAATTTTTTCTTCTACAATGCACTTGTATTCTTCATTTGTGTTTTTTATTGTTTTCCAAGTTTAATCAGTATTCTTCTTGGTCTTTGATGTTGAATTTCTGAGATAATTGTAGGAGTGCATTTTAAAAATGGCATGGCTTGCATTTGTGATATCTTGACAGGATGGTGATCATGGGGATGATGATTATGATGATGATGGACCTCGTGAGGCGGATTTGGAGGGAAGGGTTGAGAAATACATAGGTGTGAAAGTGAAGGTATGTGTTTGTTGTCTTTCATTTATATGTGTTTATTTTCTTAAGAAATGAGGATACAGGAGTTCTTTTTTCCTTTTCAAAAAGGATGGATTGGATAGTAAATAGCATTCTAGTGCACTTTCTGTTTATTGACATTGAAAAAGTGGTGAGATTAGGATTCAGCTAGTCTTGTTAGAAACAATACTCCACGAAATGCATGCAAATCTTGTTTTCATTTGTAATTTGCCTTCTAGTAAATAGGGGGCGCAGAATTATTTTTCCTAAGGCATCTTCTATCCTCAAGTTGGTTTACGGGCATGCTCAAATTTAAATATCCTCAAGTTGGTTTTGGCATGTAGGTTTCATTTACAGGGCAAGGGGAAACACAATCTATGAAGCAGTTATCGGGGGGTCAGAAAACTGTAGTAGCCCTGACATTGATATTTGCCATCCAACGATGTGATCCTGCTCCCTTTTATCTTTTTGATGAGATAGACGCAGCACTGGATCCCCAGTACAGGACTGCTGTTGGAAGTATCCTATTTCTATGTTGTTTTTTTGCCATCTCCCTAAAGTTGTAGTTTCTTTTTTGGGGTCTTGTTTTGGCTATTTAGCTATTGTTTATTCATCAGATGTAACCATTGGAGGTGATCCTTAATTACTTTGTTTGCTAGACATGATTCGTCGCCTGGCTGATATGGCCAACACACAATTTATAACCACCACTTTCAGGCCAGAACTTGTGAAGGTTGCTGACAAGTTATATGGGGTGACACACAAAAACAGGGTGAGCCGTGTCAATGTTGTCTCCAAGGAAGATGCGCTAGATTTTATTGAGCACGACCAATCTCATAATGTTGAATAAGGTTGGAATATTTTCAACTCTAGCATTTTCTTGTTTATTTGATATTTTCAACTGAGTGAGATGTGGGATTTGATGAAATTGATTTCCAGTGATGAACCATTACTGAAATGATCTGATTCATCTTTATGGCTGGTGCAGCCAAACTCTGATGGTCTGACGGAGGACTGATAAATGGATCTATACGAGGATGCCGTGATAAATTTGTTCGCTGTTAACCATGTACTATATTGTCTTTGCTGTAATCTCAAGATTGTAAATAGGTGTTAAACAGCTCAGAGCTTTATTAGCACAGCTTCTCATGTCTCTTCAGTATTAGCCTAGGAACTAGTTCAGTATCAAAATTGATGGAAACATTGGAGATCTGCAGCTGTGCGGATCTTTTACCAAGGCAAGTACGCAAACCATGTTTTTCAATATGCTCTGTTCTTTAAATATTGGGAAATTCTCTTTCGTGTGGCACTGTTGCTGAATGGATTTCTATCAGCCTTCATGACACGCTTCTAGATGCTTTCTCCCAATTAAAATCCATTTCTCCCAATTAAAGAACTGCTCGAGCTTGTGTTCTTGATGAAGGGGCAGCATGAAGACCACGGCACTGCAGTTTTTCAAAGAGACGAAAGCGGCTGTGATATTTTCCAATAGGAAAATACCCCATCCAATGTCATGAAGACCATGACTTGGGAAATACCATGACTTAGGATGGGATATTTTCCAACAGGAATACAAACAATTGGAGGACAGAATTTTTAAAAGAATTGCCCCCATGGGACTACATGTCAGTGTACACCAGTTACATGCCAGCGGATGTGTTCATGATTTGTACCGAAGACATTATCCTTGAAGAGGTGAATGGATAGTAAGGGATTTCTCTTTTCACCGCAACACACCCCAAACAACTTTAAAAAAACTCCTCTCTATCTCTATTAGTGGCGGGTGTTGAGTTTTCCGGCCAAAATAGCCTTATCACTCGTATTTTTAGATATATTAAACACTTTTTCTTAATTAATTTGATGTAATTTATGTTTCACTAATGTTAATTTGATTTTATTAAATGTTGGGATTTTGAATTAAAAATTAAGCTAATTAGTTGTAATTGAAGTTGTCAATTAGATTTAATAATTTTTTTTTAATTATCAATTATTTTAGATTGTTGATTGTGAATTAACAAAATTATGAGTTTGAAATGTTAGTGTTGATTTAGGTTAGCTTATGGATTAAGTTGATTATATACATTTTTAGTTGATAATTTGTTTGTTTTGTTAAACAAATCAATTTTTTTGTTGTTGTTGATTATGAATTAAAAAGATTATTTAATGAGATAGTGTTGATTTAAGGTAAATTATGAATTATATTGAATTTCATATAAAATAATAATACTATGAAATACATGAATATATTTGATAATTTTATTGTGGTACTAGAATCTGATGAATGTAAGTTTTTGCCGATTAATTTAAATTTTATTGATAATTGAGCATTTTATTAACTCTAATATTTATATATAAAAAATATAATTATGTTTGGTTATGTTATTTGACAAAATATTTGATAATTTAGGAATCTTATGTTTCTATGATGATATCATTGTCAATACTGATAATGATATTACTTATAATCGAGGAAGTTATGAATTCCTAATTGCTACATTAGATATGTTCTTTAATGAATTATCAAGAATGTTATGTGATCGACTTGACTGGAATATGTTTGAAATAGAAGTTGAAATTACTTAGAGGATGTTGCAAACCAGGATTAGTCAAGTTTGTTATGTTAATGTACCAATCTATAGTGATGAGACTGTGAATTCAATGTTTGAGTTTGTTAGAATTAATATGCTGGAGCTCTACTTAAATAGTATACCTAGATGAGGAAACTCTTCTAGTACAAGGTTGACCTAATTTTCAAGTAACTTTTAGAGAACTTCATAGGCATCATGATTAGATGATCCATCTAGATTACGTGGTAATGCTAGTAGACTAGTATCGGTGTCGAAAATTGTTAATATGAAACCTCAACTAGGTATGACATATGCTCCATATTGTTATGGAAAGTCAAAACCAAATGATGATGAAGATGAGCGTCATATTAATAGAGTTGTGGGTAATGAGGATGATGAGAGTGTTGAGTTTATTAAGCCTGTTAATCAATACATGGAACCTTATTCTCCTAAATTTAAGTTTGTTAGTGCGAATGACCAATATAGAAATAATGATTGGGCCGATAGTCATAGACATTCAGGCTTATTAATTGATGAATTGGACGTTGAGACAAGATTTAAAGACAAGTCTGAATGTGTCAATTCAATAAAGCGATGACATCTAAAGAATGTTTTACAGTACAAGGTATATCATTCAATAAAGTTCTATGTTTAGTTGTAATGTGTTCAAGAATTGATTTATTTATGATATTTGTGTCTTTGTGTGTGAGGGGGGTATCACCAAATGTTTGATTTAAGGAAATTTCTAAATTGAAAGGGCTATACATATGTTGAAATCCTTTTGTTTTGCAACGTCATCGTCAGATCTAATTACCGAGGTAATGTTGGCAATTATGAAAAAAGAGTTCAGTATGAGTTACAATGATTTAAGGTACTGTATAGAGGGATTATGCGTATGAAGTCTTTTATTGGAAGTTACGGATACCCAAACAAAAAATATTGAAAATTTTATTTGATATATAGGAAAAGTCATTTTAAAACCTACCTACAACTCTATTAGCCATCAGAGATTCAAATCTAGGAACAATTATCACTCGGGATCATAAAATGGCTTATAGGAATAATGAAACATTTAGGAGAGCATTTTAAGCATTTGGTACTTCAATTAATGAGTTTTATTATTTTTATCCTCTAATTAGTATTGACAACACTCATCTTTATGGTAAGTACAAAGCTAAATTGTTAGGTATGATTTGTGAAGATATGAAGAATTGAGTTTATCTATTGTGTTTTGCTATTATGAAAGGAAAAAAACAATAATTTAAGTTGATTTTTAGATTTGCTTTGTCCATATGTGATTAGGGGACGAATCAGTTGCATATTATATCAAATTGGCATGTGGTCATAAAGAGTTCTATAACTTGATTTTTTCCTGAGCCTATTGAATATCATCAATATTGTTCATGACACTTTGTGATTAACTTCAACACAAAATTAAAAAAATATTACCTTAAAAAATATATTGCATAGGATGCATGTAAATCCTCCTAAACAGGAGTTTGACATTTTATATAAGGAGTTGGTGGAGACAAATGGTGCAATCAGAGCATTGTTAAATGCTGAACCCAAAGAAAAATGAGCATTATCTTATGATTATAATGGTCTACATTATGAAAACTTGACCACAAACTTGTCAGAGATTTTTAATAATTTTTAAAAAATTATACATGGCTTGCCTACTTCAACTATAGTGCATATAATTTTTTAATTTGTAATAAATAATTTATAGAGCACAAAGAAAAAGTAGAAGAGTTTTTTAGTTGTGGTCCCCAAAAGTCCTAGTTAAAATACTTTTTGATGCAACAACTTTGAGATCACACTTGATATCTCTTTGTGATCTTTGAGGTGGCATATTTTAGTCCGAGATACCTCCAACAGCTGGTGTTACAAAAAAAATGTGGGAAACCATTGACATCAATTAAATGACTTGTACTAGTGGCAAATAACAATTGTATCATCAACAATATTCACACGTAATTGCATATTGTATATTACAAAATATAAACTACGTAAAATTTATAGATGAATTCTATTCAAACTTGTTGTATAAAAATATTCGTGTTTTCAACTTTTACTTGATATGTCATTGTGACCTTCATATATTGGTCTAGATATATATGGATGTCCTACTAGATGGTAGACAAATAAGAGTAAAAGAAAATCCACTCATTTACATAATCATATGGATGTTAGAAAAAGGAATTCATTGAATAGATGTGACAAATGCGGTCAAAGAGTTATAATAGAAAAACATATGAAACTGATTAAATTACAAATGCCAACAATTTATTTATATAGGACCTTAAAATAGACATGGTTTTTGATTAAACGTGGTTTGTCCTTTTCTAAGAGTGTCGACAAGTAGGGCCACCTTGTTACTAATGGAGGTCCTGGTGACAAGTCAGTGTTATAAATACAAGATCAATATCGATCTGATGATATCTAAAGTAGAGAGGTTAGATAAATATTTTAATTAAAATTGTTAATTATTATAATTTTAATGATTTTTATTGATTATTTAACTAAGTTGTTTGGTTTCTAAAGCAGTGATCCAATGACATCTAGACAACATGCATTTATAAAGTTGTATAAGTGTGTGTCCATATGTCATCAAGGCTAGTTTTTATAAGATTAGTCAATTGCATCATATAAATCTTGACCATGTATTAATTGCAGCATTAGTGGAGTGATAGAGGCGCGAGACATACACCTTCCGTCTATATATTGGTCAAATGACACCAACACTCCAAGATTTGGCGATGTTAATCAGTTTTCTGATAGATGAGATACATATGACCGACAATAAAGGCTTAATTGATGTAGACTTTTTATGTGATAGTTTATTAGAATGGGTACCTCTAGTTAGTGCTTATAAAGGCGACTACATCAAGTTGACATGATTGGATGCTAATTTTAATACCCCTAGCATATGCGACACTAGACCAGCTGATTTTGTATGATCGAGCATACATATTACACATGTTTGAAGGATTTATTTTCACGAGTACTACTAGCAATGCAATTTTGTTGTACTTTTTAACGATACTTGATGATTTTTAAGCCATTCTAAATTACAGCCAGGGAGAGTCATGCTTGCATATATATATATATATTGATGGGAGAGTCATGCTTGCATATATATATATTGGTAACTATGTAAAACATGTTTAGAAAAAAGAGATAAATTATCGGGTGTCTTCTATTTCTTTAGGTATATGTATTTTAAATATTTGATTATTAGAAGTAATTACATTTTAAATACTAACTTATAATTCTCAATGCTTATTAATATAGCTATGGTAATAGGAACATATTCATATTAGGTATTTAGAGAGTTGGGGCAATAACATGTTTGACACTTTTACTTAGATGCCACTCTTAATTGGTTCTAAGTACTAATTAAAAATATATTTGATTATTCAACATGTTATTTATATAAACTGAATGTAAATAAATATACTAACTCTGTGGCCTGTCTTGTTAGATGGTGTGGAGTTAGACATTTCACAGTAAATCCCACTTATGTTTATTAGTTTTATCGAGATGAGTTAGACATGCAACAACCGCATCAAGTATATAATACAAATGTATTTTTTTATTATCTAAAGTTAATTATTTAGTTTGAATTGATTATTTGATATAATTCTTTTACATGTTTTGATATGTTATATAGATGCCATATGCAAAGAGCTTGATACTTTTAACTTCAACTATATGTCATGAAAGATCTGATATTTG